TTACATCCTGTTTTGTACCAAGTCTCTGCAATGCAGCATGTATTTTACTCTTAAAGGAGATCTCAATTTGGGTTCATTGCATTTTTAATGCTCAAAGCCACTTGTGCCTAGCATTTGCTGTGTGACTGTGCAGCCCAGGTCCAGAAGTGAAGGCATAGAGATGCCAGACACAGAGACAGAGAGCCAAGTCAACAAAAGGAGTTCTGAGACAGGAGAGAAGGATTCAATGCTCCCCAAGATAGATAGATTTTTTTTTTCCTTCACTGAGAATTTAATCCAGGACCTTTGCACTGAGCTATGTCCTCAGCTCTTTCTTTATTTTACATTTTGAGAAAAGATCTCACTAGGTGGCTCCACTCCTTTTGACTTTTCCTCTGAGCTACCTCAAATGCCCGGCCACTAGTTTGGATAAGTCAGATGCCCTATGGCTTCCATGGATAGATTTACTTGGCTGAAGTGGGCTTCGGTCTCGGAGCTATCCAAGGTGTCTTCAGCACAGCCTCTTTGGATGATTCGTCCCTCCACAACCCTCTTTAACAAGTTCCCTCCCCAACCCAAGACCACATAAAGTCTGACACTGCACACACACGAGCCCTCCTTTTTTCCTACATAAGCAACCTCCCATACCCTTAGAAGGGCCAGTCCATGCACTGCTCCCCTTATACTGCAGCTGGAGTCCTTTAAAGCCTCCTCCGGCTGGCATGGTCTGGCTTATTTCTATCTTGAGTAGATCATGCTGAGCAGGTACATGAAGATCAGGTAACCCTAAAGGCCCCTGGCACCGAAAGCAGCTAGCAGCCATGTGGTATGCTGAAGCTGGCCAGCAGCACAGAACAGCGAAGAGCAGCAAAGAATTGCTGGTGGTCACCATCTCTGGTGGCTGAAGAGTTCCCGATTTGTCAGTAGTTGTTTGCTCTGAGCAACAAGGAGGGCCACAGCCCCGAGAGCTGACAGCTACCGACATTCAAAGCCCAGGGCCGTTAACACTAACAGAATGTCACTTTGCCAATTCATGATCTCTGCATGAACTAAACAGGAACCATAAGCCGACTGGTAACATCTTTGAAACCTTCCCAGGGACCTTCTTCTTTAGAGGGGCCTGAAGAAGAGGGAGGGCCATGGTAGCAGTTACCTCAGGTTCAAGAACCAGTGTTCTTGATGTGGGTGTGGTGTGGTGGTACCAGGTGTGGTGTGCCAGGCTAGCCAGTAATAGTTACAGCACCATGTGTACAGTACAAACCATTTAGGTAAAGAAAAAGCAACTATTTCCTTAGGAATATGTAAGGGGAGAAATGAAGATGTATACAAGAACGTGCTCAATTTTGAGAGAAGTTTGGGATGGGGGATTGTGGATTTGTAGTCAGGAGGGACTTTCTCCTGACTTGATTTTCAAAAATATAACTATTTTTTCTTTTTGATACCAGGGATAGAACTTGGGTTCTTGCACTTGCGAGGCAGGCGGCGGAACCACTGAGCAAAATCCCCGGCCCTATTTTTTCATTGTTTATTGGTACTTTTTAGGTATATGGTACAGTTACATTCATCATTGGGATCTTGTACCTTTTCATGATATATCTTGGTTCTTATAAAATAGACTTTTATTTTGGAATAATTTTAGATTAAAAGAAGGTAGCAAAGATTGTACGCAGTTCCTATATGTACCCCCACTGCTGTTAACATCTCTGCTACTGTTAACATCTCACATTAATGGGAAGATCTGTCAAAATTAACTAACCCCCAGACTCCATTCAGACATCACTAGTTTCTACATCATGTCCCTTCTCGGGTCCAGGGTGTAGTTCAGGACCCCAGGTGCATTTGGTCATTGTGTCTGTCCCACCCCCTTTGCTCTGGGCCATTTCTCCATCTTTCCTTCTTTCCTGTGACCCTTACCATCTGAAGTATGGTCAGTAGTAGTAGTCTTCCTCATTGAAGTCTGAGGATTTCCTCCTGACTGGATGGGGAGGGATTACAGGTGTGGGGCCAGTTCCCCACCAAGGTGAGGTGCCCTGCCCGTCACAGCCCAGCAGGGCACATGGCTCCACCATGTGAACATGGAGAAGGTGGGGCCTGCAGGTGACCCTGCTGCCAGGTCACTGCCCCCTCCCACTAGGCCAGTCACTACATCCAGACCCCTCTCAGGGACGAAGGAGAGGAGGGGAACTCAACCCACCTCCAGAAGGGGACGGCATCTCCTCATCCTATTCAGAAGTCTTCTCAGAGAGATCTGTCCCTTTGCTAACATTCATTTATTTATTTATTTAGATTATTTAAATCAGTATGGACTCGTGCATATTTATTTTGTACATCGAGTGGTAATCCAGTCTGAGTGTTGTTTTCTCAGTGAAGATAAATTCACATACCAAATGTATTTTTCAGTGCAGGAAACACAAAGCACCATGCTGTGTGAGAAACGAGTTGTACCACAGGCGAGTGAGCATCTTTCCTCCATAGCTCTCACGACTGACTGGGGCAGGATAATCATCTGGGGAGCTAGCAACTTCAGAGAAGCTATTTTGACTCTGCGGGCCTTGGTTTCCCCATCTAAATAAGAGGATGCTTCGTGAAATAGATTTGAAGGGGAAGAATGATGTTTGTATGTTTATAAGTGTCTAAGTATTTCGATGCCTATTAAAAGACCTTAATCCTTAATGTCTGTCTTCTTTTATTTATATTGGGAAATGAACTCAGAGCTAATAATCCTTGAGAAGAACCCACAATCAATATTTATATCCCCCCTCACAACCCCGGATAATTCTTCTTTGAGCTTTTACGCCTCCAATTGGGATTTAGTTCTCCTCTTCCTTCTCAGCTTTTTCTCCAGTGGCTGAAGCCTCCTCACCTGAGACCCCACATCCGGATCCTGCCCTACCACGCATGCACTGACTTCCTCAGCCTCAGCCTTGGGCCTCTCAGCTAACTACGCACAGCCGCCCACTCGGGTGGGCTGACCGTACTGCCTCATTTGTCAGCCTCCTAAGCTTCCATTCCTCGGACTGGGACTCGATTTGGAGACGAGGTCTTTTAAAGAGGTAATTACGGTAAAATGAGGTCATTGGGTGGGTCCTAACCCTATATGCCACATGAAGATCAGGACACAGATCCACAGAGCCCGTGTGAGGACACAGCAAGAACATAGCCATCTGCAAGCCTGTGAGAGAGGCATCGGGAGAAGCCAAACCGACCGGCATCTTGACCTTGGACTTCAGGCTTCAGAACTATGAGAGAAGAAATTCCCGTTGTTTAAGCCACACAGTCAGGATGCTCTGTTCTGGCGGCTGTGGCAGAAAGGAATCCTCACTCCCAGGAGTGAAAATGCTCACTGAACCCGCTGTCCTGTCCCAGGCCTTGGAGATGAATGAGAGAGGGCCCATGGTCCAATGGGGATAGGCGAGCAGTCCAGGAGCACCCAGGATGCTGGGCAGGGCATTTCTCCTTGGAGAAATACAGAGTATGAAACAAGGAAACTCCTAAGTGAGACCCCAGTGCCATATACCTGGGCTTCCTACATGGGTAGCTGGCTGTAGGACTACCTCAGGCTGTGGGAGACCTTCATCTGTTTCCCCTTCCAGCGGGGTGGGAACTTTTCCAGGGCAGAATTCTGATTAATTTCTGTGATCCTAGCAGCATCTGGAACTGGTGTGAAGCTCAATACATACTCACTGAGTGAATAAATGAGAGGACCAGGCAGGCAGCTACTTCTCAGATGAGGACAAGTATCTAGAATATATAAAGAACTCAAAATGTTACATCCCTCAAATAAAAGATCTCATAAAAACGGGCAAGTGAAATGAATAGACGCTTCTCAGAAGAAGTACAAATGGCCATTAAATACATAAAGAAATGTTCGACATCATTGAGCATTACAGAAATGCAAATTAAAACAACACCGGGAGTCCATTTTACTGCAGAAAAAGGGGGGGGGGTCATTATGAAGAAATCAAACAGTTCCAGAGGCTGTGGGGGAAAAGGAACCCTTCTACATTGTTAGTAGGAAATGTAAACTAGAAATCAGTATGGAGAGCTCCCCAAAATTGAAACTACAAATTCCACTTGACCCAACTATTCCTCTTGCACTACTACTACTCTTCCTCTTCCAAAAGCATTACAGACATCATATTACAGTGACCCATGCATACCATGTTTATAGCAGCACAACTCATAATAGCTACATATTGGAAGCAGCCTATATGCCCATCAACAGATGAACAGATAAAGAAAACATGGTGTTTACACACAGTGCCATAAAGAGGGATAAACTTGAGTGATTTGTAGGAAAATGGATGCACCTCGAGACTATAATGTTAAGTGAAAGAAATCAGGCGCACAAGTCTAAATATCACATGGTCGATCTTGTATGAGAAACCCAACATATAAAATAAAGAGCAAAATAAAAGGTAGATAATAGGAAGCAGATCAAGAGGTGCAAGGAGGGAGGAGGAAGGGAAGAAGAAAGGATGAAGAAGGGAATTAAGATGTGTTATGTATGTGCACCAACTCCGTACGATGAATAGAAACATTATGTTCTGCAAATACTCAAAAGAACTAAAAACAGAAGACCAGGCAAGGCCGGGTCACACTGCCCCTCTGCCCCAGTTTCTCTTCTCTTTTTTGGGGGGTACTGGAGATTGAACATAGGTCCCCAAATTTGCGAGGCAGGTGGTGGCACCACTGAGCTAAATCCCCGGCCCTGCCCCCATTTCTTTTCTTTTCTCCTTTCTTTCTTTCTGAAAGTTGAAAAGTGTGTTTATCTCCTCTAAAATGAAATGAATAAAACAAGGAAAGTTTAAGTCTGTACCTTCGATGTTGGTACTTTAAAAAATAAATGTAAAACTATAAATCAAGAGAGACAAATATTTTTTGTTTGTTTTTTTTGAGACAGCGTCTCACAATGTAGTCCAGGCTGGCCTTGAACTCATTACGTAGCCCAGGGTGGCCTCGAATCTGCAGCGATCTTCCTGCCTCTGCCTCCCAAACACTGGATATAAATTAATTTTTTTAGTAAGCTGTTTCTAATGAAAGGGCCATTCAATTTCCCAAGTTCTGAAATGGTCAACAGACCATAGGAAGACATCTCTTTAGGCACCTCCTTGAAACCGACAGCTTCAGGAAATTGCCAGTTTTGATTCAGGGCTTTTCCCTGTTTCTCGTGCTCCCAAGGTTGGCTCTGGGGGTCAGCAAATCTCCCAAGAGATACTGAGAGTGGGGCTCCTGAGGGCACAGCAGGCTGGGTTGCTTCAGTGCCAGGAAACACACAGCCGTGGACAGGGTCACTTCGGAGGGAAGAGGCCTGTGTGCCCCTGGCCGCATGACTGGCAGGAGGCTCACATGGGGAGATGTGTTCTGCATCACCAGGGGCGTCAGGCCATATAGAGCCAATGAAATATTGTTATTCTTCAAAGATTTGGGCAGGGAGAGCCTGGGGGCAGAGCAGAGTCAAAATAATCAGCTGGGGCAGCCCCTGCTAACTGTGCAGACTGAGCAGGGACAGAGTTCACCCACTATACCCTAAGTCTCACTTCCTGCCAGCAGAACCCAACTCCTCAGCCTTCTCCCCATCCCCAATGCCAGAGCCTCTCGCCTGGTCTACTTGGGGGCACTCTTGTCCCCCAAAATCCATTTCTCTGCCCAGCAGCAGAGTGGCGCTGCCCTAGCTTCCCTCACACTAAGAATAAACCCGAGTCCTTCCAACGGCCAACACAGCCCTGCTCTCCTGACCTGAGGCACTGGCTCCACCCCATGCGTACCCCTGGCTCCAGCCGGGCAGGCCTCGCCCTGTCCCTGACTCATGACTGTGCCTCTTCCCTGGGGTACTGACAGCTGCTGTCCCTTCTGATGTCTCCTGTGACTCCTGGTCCCTGGGGACCTTTTTGGCCACCGTCTTCCTAGTTCCTCTCTGACACACTGAGGGCCTTTGGCTTCCCAGAATTTACCGTATACCCTTATTGGGTCCCCCCTTTGGACCTCCTGCACCAGAACACATCTTCCTGAGCCTCAGATGTGACGCAGCGAGGGGCCGAGCACACCTCGGGTGTGCATGGTAATGAACCGATGGCTCTCCCCTCATCCGGGTGCCCTGGGTCGGAGCCTGTCAGGTGCCAGATGGTGTGGAGCTGGAGTGAACACAGCTTTTATTAGCCTGAGTTGCTTTTTTGCTGGGAATAGGATTAGCACCAGCACCCGCCTGGCGAGTGGATAAGGGAAAGCTCTGTTAGTTACATTTGGATTTTGCTTCTTTGGTGAGCTCCAGAACCCCTGCTGCCGGGTTAGCCCAGCTCACGGCTCAGTGCTGGCCCAAGAGGCCCATGGGGCGGGTTGGGAAGAGCAGTGCAGAAAAAATCCTTCTCAGCCCCTCCCACCTTGACCTCCATCCAGGGGCCTCCTGCACCCCCACACCCAGCCTTAACACACGGGGCAAAAAGCCTTCACTGGCCTTGCTGCCCTGGGGTGCAGCCAAATGCTTTATGGTGTTGTAGAGGGAGTGTGATGGTGGTGGGCTGTGGTCCCAGGGCACCCCGACAAGGCAGGGGTGAAGCACCCACCTGACACCAGAGACCCAGGTCTCAGAGAGGTTGAGTGATTTGCCCAAGGTTACCATGCAATGGGCTGCAGACCAAGCTCTAGCCTGGCTTGTGGGGCTGATGGTTGGGCCTCTCAGGCCCTCTCTGTAAAGCCATGGTGCTCCATGCCCGGGCTTCCTCTAGATGTGCCAGGCCCTCCTTTGAGATATTATTCTTGTGCTGTGTATCAGAAAACTGAGGCTGAGAGACAGGTCAAGGTCACACAGCTTCAGCTGCAGAGCTGGGATTTAGCCGAAGTTGGGCCTGACTCTAAAGCCCAGTCGTTGCCCGGCATGGTGGCGTATACCCATAATCCCATCACTCGGGAGGCTGAGGCAGGAGGCTTGCTGCAAGTTCGAGGCCAGCCTGGGCTACATAGTGAGACCCTGTTTCAATCAATCAATCAATCAATCAATCAATAAAAATAGAAAAGCCCAGTGTTGAGGGCCTTCCCACCTTCACAAAGAGAACCAGAACGTTGAGATGAGGAGCAGGCATGGTGCAAGTGGCTGGATATGGTCACTAACAGGCTCCCACAATGGTCTGGAAGGGAAGAATTCAAATCTGGGCTTTAGGAGATTAACAAATGACCTTTGAAGTTATTGTCAAGTAGCCAAGACCTCAGACTACTGCCCTGACTCCTGCCTGCCATCAGCTCTTGCTGTCTCTGCCTGCAGCACTATGACCTTGGTTTGCTATTGGCTGTGCCCGTGTGGCCAGCTGGAGGAGCACAGCTCTGCAGCTGGGACGCAGTGTTCCTTACACCTCCACTCGGCCTCTTCAGGCCTCAGTGTCTATACTTAAGAACAGGGAATGATTCGGGCATCGCCAAGGGAGGTCATGAAGGCTAGAGGTCAGTAGCAAACCCCACACAAATGCTGTGATTTTTTAACAATAAAAGAAACTCGGGGGCCAGGGATTTAGCTCAGTGGTTCCACCGCCTGCCTGCCTCACAAATGCAAGGGCCTGAGTTCGATTCCCCAGTACCAAAAAAGAAAAAAAAAAAAAAAAAGAAGGGCTGGGGATTTAGCTCAGTGGTTCAGTGACCTGCCTTGCAAGTGCAAGGACCTGAGTTCAATCCCCCGGTACCAAAAAAAAAAAAAGAAGGAAAGAAACTCGGACTAATAGCCCCTTTGGCAAAATAGCTGGTTTAATTCAAATCTCTCCATCCCACCTACCACCCTGAATTTGTAAAATCTTTTGCAGTTTACAAAGCCCTTCTATCCACTGTCTCATGAATCCTTGTGCAAAGTTTGTGAAGCAGAAATGAGCCGCTGAGTACACTGACACCCAAACTAAGGCTCCAGGAAGGGAAACAACTGGCCCAAGACCACTGAGCCAGTGTGAGGCGCTGTGGGCTCTACGCTTGGCCGTTCGTTGCCTGCTGCAAAGCCCCAGGGGCTGCCTCCATCCACCAGCCACACCCCATGTGCCTTGGGGTTCACCACACCCTGGCCCAGGCTCCTCTCCCTTGTACAAGTCTTTCCAAATGTGTCATCATTCCTCAAGCCCACAGCAGTCTCTCTCAGCCCCTTACTTTGCACCCGATATTCCCTCCGTTCGGCCACCTGGCAGACTCCTGCCCATCTTCTATTACTTTCTGCGTGGTCCCTGCGACAGCTGCCTGACAAGACCCAATGTCCCGCTGCTGTCATCAACTGCGGTCTTGATCACTGTACAGAGTGGTTCAGAGTGCAGGCCACTACTGGCTGAGTGATCTTAGACAAGTTACTTGACATCTCTGTAGAGACATTTTCTCAGCTATTATTACAAGGGTCCCTCCGGGGATCAGCGTGAGGAGTAAATGGCATGAGTAGAACAATAGGCACAGGGCCTGGTGGAGCATCCACACTTAGTGTACCCTGCTGCCATTAGTGTTCTCTTTTATTTTATTCAGTGGCTCCTGCCCCCCCAGGCCCCGGAGCCCAGGGAAGGACAGCATACAGAGCCGTGTATTCCTCCCGACCACAGCGCCTTCCCTGGAACCATGGCTGCTGAGTGGGGGCTCCAGAGAGGCACTGCTCCCCCACAGGGGCCCCTCGGCCTCATGACCCTACCCCACCGAGTGTCTCAGTGGGGGGGGCACGGCCTCACCAGCCCCTCCTTCTCTCCCTGGGAACCCCCACAGGCTGTCCCTAAGGCAAAGGAGCAGCAGCTGCAGGCGGATTTATCTCCCTGGGCTGCTCCCAGCTGAGATTTATGGGCTGTGCCTGTCACAGTGACCCTGCAGGCTCAATTATAGATCTGCCTCCAGGCCGGTCCTTCGGGAACAGGAACCTGCTAGATTTGCCAAGTGGCCCCGAGGGGAAGCCACGGGCCCTATCAAATCCAGGACCTCACCACTGGGCTCGAGCAGCTGCCTCACTTGTCACGTAGGAGGAAACTGAGGCCAGACACAGGAAGACACACGCAAAGCTCCCACTAGGAAATATGGGCCCAGTGTGAAGTCGAATGTGGGCCTGGTGCTGTCCAGGGAGCTCATTCTACTATCCACGAGGGCGTGACTTCCTTAGAACCCAAATAGCTTCCTTTTTATATAGTGAAACTGTTTACTACCAAACATACTTTGAAACTTAGACCCGAGTAAGCCATCGGACTTCTGTGGACAAAGGCCACACTCTGTGCCCACAAGGACAGCAGGAATGGATTGTGCTGGCCCACAAGTGCGGAGGGGAGCTGTACCAGATAGATACAGCCTGTGGCCCCAAGTCCCTTCCTGCATAAGCAAGAACTCATCCTTCTCAGAGGGTCTCCCAGATATCCCCAAGAGCAGCCTCCCCTGCAGCCACCCCAGGATGGCTTCCTGCACATCCTCGCTGGTTCAGGCACCTTCCTCCCGGGTGCCTCAATCAATGAGCGCCTCAGAGGGCCTGCTGCTGCCACAGTGCGTGTCATGGAGACGGAGTCAGGGCCATTTCCTGTATCCTTACTGCCTGGTCCCTTGACTCCCTGTCCCTAAAGGGCAGAGTAGAGTCTGACCTCCCTGAGCCCCCCGTTGTGGATTGAAAGCTTATCAGGTGGGAGTCCTTGGTCAGGCCACCTGCTCTCCTCTCTAGACCTGAGCAAACTCAGTGGTGGCATAGAGGTGATAATGGCAGGTGATCGAACAAGGCTGTGTGTATGCAATATCTGGAACATAGTAGCTGTTCAGTAAACAGCAGTATCACTATTATTACTATGATGATTATTATTATACTTTCTGGGACAGGAACAGAAGCAAAGCTTTGAGACCAGTAGCTTGAGAAGTGATTCGAGAATTCTTCACGGAGGTGACACAGGGAAGGAAGAAGCCAGCAGAGGGTGTGAGATGGAGCAGGTTTCTGGTGTGACCAGCCAGGCTCAGTTCCACTGATGAATTCTGGGTGAGCATGTAGAACCCCTTCAGAGTTGTCCCTGCTAAGGGGTGAAGGAGCTGGGGTTTGTATCCCTCAGCACTGACTAGGATCAGCTTCGGGGAACAGATAATAAGCTCCCTGGCACTTTCCTGCATGCATGGCAGGCCCAGTGCTCTGTGGCTAGAAGTCCTCAGGCAGAGTCTCAGGCCTGGCGCTTGGAAGCCGTCAGGTTGGCATGCAGA